GGCTAGTAATTATTGCTGGCCACAGAAAAAGGTGTATATGATGATACACCAATACAAAAAAGTGTGTGTCTGAATTAACCCCTTAAGGACGGAGCCAAATGTACATGTTGTGAACGAAACAAAATGTAAATAAAATCTGGCATTTCCGCTACATGTCTGTCCAACCGTAATTCAACTCTTTCATAGTAAATACACCCACCCTTATTATATATCATTTTATTCAGGGGAAACAGGGCTTTCATTTAATATCAAATATTTAGCTATGAAACATAATTTAATATGAAAATAATGGGAGAAATAAGATTTTTTTTATTTTTTTAGTTCTACATGACATTTTAACTATCAATGTCATAATACGGTTTGCTTTTACTGCAATAAAATACACGTATTTGTATTCAGCAAAGTCTCACGTGTAAAAATGGCGTTTTGGGAAGTTACAGGGTCAAATATAGCACGTTACATTTGAAATTGAAATTCGCCAGATTGGTTACGTTGCCTTTGGGACTTTATATTAGCCCAGGAATTAAATTTACACCCACAATGGCATACCATTTGCAATAGTATACAACCCAAGGTATTGCAAATGGGGTATGTCCAGTCTTTTTTAGTAGCCATTTGGTCACAAACACTGGCCAAAGCTAGTGTTAGTATTTGTTTGTGTGAAAAATGCAAAAAACGCAAATTTTGGCCAGTGTTTGTGACTAAGTGGCTACTAAAAAGGACTGGACATACCCCGTTTGCAATACCTTGGGTTGTCTACTATTGCAAATGGTATGCCATCATAGGGGTAATTTTCATTCTTGGGCTACCATAGGGTCTCAAAGGCACCGTAACCAATCTGGCGAATTTTAATGTGAAAAAAATGAAATGCAAGCCTTATATTTAACTCTGTAACTTTTGAAAACACCATAAAACCTGTACATGAGGGGTACTGTTGTACTCGGGAGACTTTGCTGAACACAAATATTTGTGTTTCAGTTCATTTGTGTAAAAAGTATCACAGCAATAATATCGTCTGTGTAACTGCTGTTTGTGCATGAAAAATGCAAAAAATTTCACTTTTGCTGGCGATATCATCATTGTAATACATTTTACTGTTTTGAAACACTAATATTTGTGTTCAGCAAAGTCTCCCGAGTAGAACAGTACCCCCCATGTACAGGTTTTATGGTGTCTTGGAAAGTTATAGGGTTAAATATAGTGCTAGCAAATTAAATTCCCTTTACTTTCGGCATGGGTTGTCAGGCAGGTCCCGCTAATTGTAATTAATTAAGATACCTAATTATGTAAAAAATATTACATAAATATATATGTAGAATTAATATATGTATATATATACGTATGTGAATCTATATGTGTATATATATATAATTTTTTAAAAATATTTTTATTTATATATAGGTATATATATAGTGATATATACGTATATATTTATGTATGTAGATATATATATATATTATTTCGTTCTACATGTATTTTGATATAAATATATATATATATATATATTAATATCACAATACAGTTAGAACGAAATAACACACATCTATATATTTTTTAATTATTTTTTTTACATTATTTTTAAAATTTTATTTTTTAACGTATTTACATATTTCATTTTTTTATATTATATATAAATATATATATATAACAATAATTATATATATATATATATATATATATATATATTTAATCAGTATCAGTCTACGTGTAATTTGATATTAAAATATATATATAATTATATATATATATTAATAGTAAAATACACCTAGACAGTGTATGTGTGTGAATGTATATGTTTATATATATACTTAGATCATATATCTAATTTATATATGATCTAAGTATATATATATATTTTTTTACACTTAATTAATTTATTTTTATTTTATTTCTAGCCAGCAGGGGGACCACCTGTAATTACAGGCAGCCCCCCTGCTGGCAATACAGAAGCCAGCTATCCCGGCCATGTGATTGTGAGGTCCTCGCAAGGACCTCACTCTCACATGGCCGGGGGGCACCGGAGGAGGAGGAGGATCTACCGCGGGGTGGCTCCCTGGGAGTCCCCCCCACCGCGACCGGGTAAGTAAAGAAAGACCTGAGGGCGTACAATTACGCCCTGCGGCATTTAGAGCCGCCTAAAATAGGGCGTAATTGTACGCCCTCCGGTCTTAAGGGGTTAATAAACTAGAGAGTAAAAGATGAACTAAACTGTATACATATCAGTGAGCTAATAAATAACTTAATAGTGAATAAACCAAATACATTCACAAAAAAGGGGGGGTTAATAAACTAAAGTATATACAGAAGTGTGAATTGATAGATTGCTCAGATGAGTCAAATAAGGTAAAAAAATCCTAAACTCTAGAAGTATGATCGCTGAAGTGTGTGTCTTTTTGTGAATGTATTTGGTTTATTCATTATTACGTTATTTATTAGCTCACTGATATGTATATACTTTAGTTTATCTTTTTCTCTCTAGTTTATTAATTCATACACACACTGTTTTGTATTGGTATATCATCATATACACCTTTTTCTGTGGGCAACAATAATTACTAGCCTTTATGGACATCCATACGATTGGTGTGATACCATATGATAGGATTACGTAATTTTTCTAATATTATCTATTTCAGCCTTGTATCCTGTCTATTAGGAGTCCATAGGGTCTCTTTGTATATTGCCCGATATTCTATTTATAGTGGTCCACCAGATTCCCTTATATATTTTTCTATTGACAAGTCACTTACATGTGACTGTGAATACGTTGGTTTATGACTATACCTATGTCTATTAGAATGTAAATACTTTGTTTAACATCACTATTTATGAATAGAATTTTCATTTAGGATATTTAGACAAGATTTTAGAATTATCAATAAAAGTTATATTTTAAGGGCACTCGTCTCTCTTATTACGATATATTTCTTTAGTCTCTGGGTTAACCCCAATACGAGTGTTCCTTAAGCTTCCTTTCTCTTGCTTTACTTTTTCATCTCTAACCATGGCACACTAAGTTAAAGATGCTCCTGGTCAGCTGAACACTGCTGGAGGAAGTCTTGCACCTTGTCAGACTTTTTCCATTACAAATGTATGCTCTGTTCATACAGCACAGCCCTCTTTATTGCTAAACACAATCTCGGGCATCTATTTGATACCTTCAACTCTCTATGGAAATACCCTTATTGCTAACCTTAAAATTGATAACTTTGCATGCTATATTATTTACATAATTCTCCCTCTCTCTCTGACTTGAACTATTCCTCTCCTACCCTTATGTCTTTTCCTCAGTTACTGAACATGAGGTCTCTGCACTTTTTATTTCCTTTTCTTTTCTCCCAACCACTTCTCCCCTTGATCCTATTCCATATCATGCTATCAGATCTCTCTCCCTTGCCTTGTGTTATCCTTAAAGCATAACTTTAACCGCCCTATTTCTACTAGCATTGCCCCACTCCCCTTAAACAAACTCATCATAAAAAAAGAGAATCTTGACCCACCGTACTTTTTTTTTTATATCTCTACTCTCTTTCTCCTCAATGCTTTTGGAATGACTTGTCTGTAACCATCTGACACACATTCTCTAAGACATTACTTTCCCGTACTATATCACCCTCAGTTATTTTACAGGCAGGGCCGCCACCAGAAAATTTCAGGCCCCTAACAGAACAAATGGTCTGCCCCCCCCCGCTACTTAACCACGCCCCCTCCCTTGCATAGTTATTTTATCCAGGTCTAGTTTCAGATGTGATCATGTGATCAATAGAAAGGAGTCTCTTCATCTATAGTTTGGCCTAAAAATAGTAAGCCTGCCACCACGTCAAGGTAGACTCTTTGAGAAGGACCCTAACCTAACCTAACCTTAATTATTAGAGAAATCAAATATTGAAGCCAAATTAGCAGTTTTCCTGCAGTAGGTCAACTATTTTGCCCTTCAGTTAGAAAATCTATTAAAATTCCCTGTCTAGTGAATAGACCTCTGAATTGCAGAATTATGCTGGTGAAATCACCAATACATAACTCGGAACCTTAAATTTGTGGCCGCACTATTTCAAACTATATGATGTAACACTAAGCTATAGTGTCAGAGAGCTAAATTTCCATTTTTACCTAGTAATTTAGGTTGAAAAAAAACTAGGCCCATCAAGTTCAACTTTTCTACTTATCCTTCCTGCTTTTGATCCAAAAGAAGGCAAAAAAAACCCCCAAGTTAAGCTATTATGAATGACGCTTAGGGGGAAAGAAATTCCTTCTTGACTCCTAAAGGCAATCAGAATTCTCCTTGGATCAAGAAGCTCTAAATATTAAGTTTTACTCTATTATTTATAGCCCTGTATGTCCTTTTCTACAAATATATCTAGAGTAGTGTAGTAGTGGTGTAAACTGTGTAAATATTAATGTCCCTATATCCATGTATTGTCCTGAATGAAATCTGAAATACATTCTTTTACTTAAATAAGAGTCATTTAGTTTTATTTTTTGGCCAAACATATGAACTATGACTATACAGAAGAAAACTCCTTAACATAAAACATTTCTTGAACCATTTAAATAATTGTGAACAATTTTAAATAATCATAAACAACAAAATTAGTCAACTTTTTATCTACAATAACAATAACATTTTGATACAGCTAAACACAATGTCACGCACAATCAAAAGGTCTGAAGGCATGTGGGTAACTACCATACCTAAGAAGTTGGCAGAGTACAAATATAACGTGTCTGAAGAACATGATAAACATTCCGCGGTAAACATTGAATGTTTACGTTTGCTTTGTTGACCATCTTCTTATTTTAAGGATGGCAAAATCTGTAATTAGGTCTTTGAAGTTAAGAGTGCGGGCAAGTTCATGCTCTATAGAAAGAATAGCAAGGCTGTTTAGATGATTTTCGCTCATTGTTGAACGCAGATAGTTTTTAATCAGATATAGTTTACTAAATGCTCTCTCTCCTTCAGTCACAGAAAGTGGAAGGGTAGCAAATATTCTGAGAGCAATTCAAACCTCTCCAAATATTCCTTCAAGCTGTAGCTTATATATAGATTTCAGCAAATCTAGTGGACCCAAGCTGCTTGCAAATGTGTCATCAAAAACTTTGTGAAGGTGCTGAATTTCACTTAACAGTGAAACTGTAAGATCTTCAGGGTATTTGGATATAAGATTTTCAGTGGATGTCACAAGTTCTTCATCCGATATTGCTCTAAGTTTTAAAATGGGAGCAAATAAACTGCACACATTTTCCATAGAATTAAACCGTTGGTTTAGTTCACTAATGACAGATTCTAGTGCCACAAAGAAAACATTTACCTTAAAGTCTTCTTCAGATTCTTGGTCTTCACTGCCCAATTCAGTGTGTTGTTTCTTCTGCCTTTGCCGGCTTCTCTGTGTTTTCAGTACTGTTGGTATTTCCAAATTACCTGCCACATGCTTAGCCTCAGAAAGTAGAGAAAGCCACCTTTCCCGGAGTAATTGCATTTCCGCAGAAAGGGCCTTGATATTTTCTGCTCCGATTTCCAGTGAAATTGATCAGGACTGAAGAATTGTGTTCCTATCTTCAAAACATTGAAGAACTTTTACCCAGAAAGTTGCCAGGATGACAGCTTTGAAAGATGAAAAATAGTCTTTAAGGCCTACAGCTTCTGAATGAGCTTCACTTGAAAGTTTTCTGGATGATAATGTTTTCTCCAAGGATTCCAAAATGTTGGGAAGTTTTTGAGCAATAGGACGAACAGCTTCTATCCTGGCACTCCATCTGGTGTCACTCAGGCCATGCAATGAACCACCAATGGTTTCCTTCAAAATATTCCACCTCTCAGGACTTCCACTAAAAAGACGATTCACACATCCAAAAAAAGTGATCACATCAGGGCAGCATGATGCTGCATGCACACCCACAAGATTCAAGGAGTGTGAAGCGCATGGACAAAATATAGCTTTCGGATACTTTTCCTGTATGCCAGCTCTGACTCATTTATTTTTCCCAGACATATTGGCTCCATTGTCAAAGCCCTGACCTCTACAATCCTTGACATTGATGCCATGTTTGTGTAGTCTTGATAATAGCATTTCTGCTATTTCCTCTCCAGTCTTATGGAAGAAGTCAAAATATTCAATGAACCTTTCTTGAATAGTCCAGTCTTCAGACCCTGGTTCATTGTAGACATACCTTAAAACAATTAAGTTTTGTTCTGTGTGTGAAACATCTGGTGTTGCATCACATATCACAGAAAAATAAATTGCCTTTTCTCTTTCTTTGAGTATTGTATTCAGAACATGCTTTCCACATAGGTTTATCAACTAATTTTGTGTTGCCCAGGATAAATAGTGTGCATGCAGTTTTTTTTCCTGTCTCTTGACTTTTCTTCACTTTCTCTAAATGTTCTTGGAGCACTGGATCATAGTGTGCTATCAATTCAAGTAGACCAAGGAAATTACCATTGTTCTGGTATCCAATTCTTTGCGAGCTTCCCTGAAAAGCCAGATTTCTTGATGCCAAAAACAAAGTTACATCCAGAAGTCTTTCTAACAAAGACAAAAATGTGTTTGTTTCAGGTTCCAAACTTTTTTGCAGATTAGAATCCACACCATATCCTGCCATGAACATTTGAAGTTTTCTCCAAATTCAGTAGTTTTGTTTATGAATAATGGAGTTTTCATGTTCTCGCAGTTTGATGTAAAGCAAATGCCACTTTTTTTTTGATGGATCAAATCCTTCTTTCTTACAAAGCATGCTAGTCGCTTTGACACGATCAGACGAAATGCCAAGCAGGTCACACAATACAGCACATTTTTGGTAGGACTCCACTTGAGCCAGTCCCGAATATGTCTCTCTCGTCCGTTAAATGACTTTGAATATATGAGAAACTCACTAAAGGACTGTTCTTTATAATCTTTATCCATACCTTTAATCATTTCTTTTAGTTCCTCTTCTTTTCTTAGCCCACCAATCACAATTTTTTCCCGGTCTTTGTCTTTCAGAACATCTGGCCACAGAGCTGGATCTTTCCAATCCAATTCTTCCTGTACAATTTCCTGTGTGTTAGAAATGCTGCTTGGAGGTGGAGCTTCCATCTCTTCTCATAACGGTTCAACTAGAACTTCAAGGTCAGTTATGTTAGATGTGCTGCAGCAAGCGATCTCCTTTTCTGGTTCTTGATGATGTACTTCATCTTCCTCAGTCTGTATCATAGTTGTTTGCTCCGTATGTTTTTCCTTTTTAAAATACTTCAATAATGGATTCTTCTTTTTCAGTTTTTCCTCCTCTTGTTTTCGTTCTCTCTTTTCTTTCCTCTTCTGCGCTCCAGATTTGTGCAGATACATTTTGATGTATTTATTAGGGACGGAACCGCACTTATATAAATAAGCCAAACTATTACTACAATACTGTGAAGAATTTCCAAAACCCCAAATACGTGATACTATATCAAATGTCAGTACATAACAGTAAATATGTGTTTGCTCTCGAAAATGTATTAATGCTACCTAATAAGTGCAAAAGTCAAAATAAAAACAGACTTTCAAACAATGTAGAAAAAGGGTACGGTTAAAGTAAAATACAGAAAAAAGATTTAGTGGCAAGATGCATAAATGTAAACTTTCAAAATTGTGCAAATTCAATTGCATATAAATAGACAAATGCAATAATATATTAGACAATATTATCAAAAACAAATAAATACTCAAATCATGTAGAACCAGACCTGAGTACCAATGGCTAACCACACAAGGTAAAAATTTAAACTTTTAAAACTGTAAATTTCACGAAAAAGTGCAAATAAATAATAAATATAAATATCAAAACAAACAACGCAGGAAACAATGAGCAAATATATACAAAAATGTGCAAATAGTGCAGTGCAAACAAATTTTACACAAATTGACTTGCTCGATGTGTTTTAATACAACTTACCAATGTAGTAATCTTCAGATGTCCTAGGAAGTTACAAGCACGTACGTGGTCATGTAACAGGCAGAAATACTCACCTTTCAGGAAAATTGCAGGTGTCCATCAGTCGCAAGATCTGAGCAACAAAAAACAAACAAACACACTGGTGCACAGAGACACACACATTGACACAAACAAACATACATTCACAATGTGCATTTGGCTCTGTGTATTTCTAAATGTGTCTGAGAGTGTGTGTCAGACAGAAAATATCCTTGTGAGTGAATGTGTGTCGCTGTGAGCATGTGTGTGTCTAGGAGCAAGTGGAAGCAAGTGGAATCTCGTATGTATGGGGGGCTGATTGTGATCTTTGTGCATTGTGTTTATGGAGAAGCTGTATTTCACGACTGTGTATGATTACTGTCTTCAGGGTATAACTGTGACGGGGGAATATAGGGTTAACATGGCAGAGTAAGTGTGACAAGACGAGGGGCGTGAAAGAGACAGGGGTGGGGGTGAGTGTGACAGAATGAGAGAAGTTGAGTGTGACAGAATTGGGGTGAATGTAGGGCTTAAAGTGACAGGGTGAGTGTGGCAGGGAAAGATTTGGGGATGAGTGTGACATAGTTGGAGGAGGGAGTGTAACAGGATGAGGGGTGTTAATAGAAACTTAGAATGTGACGGCAGATAAGAACCATTCGGCCCATCTAGTCTGCCCAATATTTCAAAATACTTTCATTAGTCCCTGGCCTTATCTTATAGTTAGGATAGCCTTATGCATATCCCACGCATGCTTAAAGGGACTCTCCAGTGCCAGGAAAACACTGCAGGACCCCTCTCCCTCCCACCCCCCATCCTAAGTTGCTGAGGGGGTTAAAACCCCTTCAGTGTCTTACCTGTATCCAGCGCCGATGTCCCTCGGCGCTGGGTCAGGATCCACTCACGCTCCTCCCCACCGACATCAGGTGGGGAGACCTATAGAGCATGCGCGGCCGCCGGCGGGGGAGACCTAATGCATTAGACCTCCCCATAGGAAAGCATTGAAAAATGCTTTCAATGCTTTCCTATGGGGATTTCAGCGACGCTGGAGGTCCTCACATAGCGTGAGGACGTCCTGTGCTGTTATAGCACACTTTTCATGTGCTATAAACACAGAAGTGTCCTCTAGTGGCTGTCTAGTCTAGTAGACAGCCACTAGAGGAGTTAACTCTGCAAGGTAAATATTGCAGTTTATGAAAACTGCAATAATTACACTTGCAGAGTTAAGGGTAGTGGGAGTTGGCACCCCTGGAGTGTCCCTTTAAGGAGGATTAATATTCAGGTTCAATGTGACATGGTTGAAGTGTGAATCAGTGAGTGTGACAGCATTTGGTGCTACTGTGGCATGGTTGGAGGAGGGAGTGTGACAGGATTGAGGGGTTATTATGACACGGTGAGTGTGGCAGAGCGAAGGGTGTTGAGTGTGGCAATGTTGTTGGAGGGGATTAGCAGGGATAGATGTGAGTGTGGCATGGTAAAGGGGATGACTTTGTGTGGGGGTGAGGGTGACAGTGAGTGAGTGCAGGTGTGGGTAGCAGTGAGTGGGGAAGTGTGGGGGGCAGTGATGGGGGAAGGGAAGATGGCAGTGAGTGGGGGGGGGTAAGGGTGGCAGTGATGGGGAGGGGAGGGTGGCAGTGGGTGGAGGGAGGTGAGGATGTCAGTGAGGGGAGGGTGTCAGTGAGACATTAAATTAACTTACCTCTTGAGTGAAGTGACTCCCTGTCCCTGGTGATCTTCTTTCCTGCAGAAGCAGGAGGGTGGCAGTGAGTGGGAGGTGAGAGTGGCAGTGAGTGGGGAGGTGAGGTGGCAGTGAGTGGGAGGTGGGTAGGGTGGCAGTGATGGGGAAGGGAGGATGGCAGTGAGTGGGGGAGGTGAGGGTGGCAGACTGACATTGAGTGGGAGGGAGGACGGCAATAGCAGGCAGAGGGTGGCAGTGATGGAAGGGAGGATGGCAGTGATGGGGCAAGGGAGGAATTGCAGTGAGTGGGGGAGGTGAGGGTGGCAGTAAGTGGGGGAGGTGAGGGTGGCAGTGAGTTGAGGTGAGGGTGGCAGTGAGTGGGGAGGGTAGTGTGGCAGTGATGGGGAAGGGAGGAGACAGTGAGTGGGGAGGTGTGTGGGTGGCAGTGGGGAGTAGGGAGGAAAGATGGCAGGTGACATTGAGTAGGGGGAGGGAGGGTGGCAGTGAGTGGGGAGGAGTAGCAGTGATGGGGGAAGGAGGATAGCAGTGACTAGGGGCAAGGAGAGTACAGTGAAGTGGGAGAGGTAGGGGTGGCAGTAGTGGTAGCAAGAGGTAAGGCTAGCAGTGATAAGGGGAAGAAGGATAGCAGTGAAGTAGAAGTAGAATTGCTTGAACTGGCAGTAGTAGAGGAGGAGTGAGGTGGCAGTGAAGTGGGGAGAGTGAGGTATAGCAAAGTGATAGGGGAAAGGGAGAATTATGATAGAAGGGAAGAGATGCTTAGTAGATAGGGGAGGTGAGGGTGGCAGTGAGGTGAGGGTGGCAGTGAGTGGGGGAGGTGCGGGTGGCAGTGAGGTGAGGGTGGCAGTGAGACAT